CGCTTGTCGCGCACGCAGGATGGACGGCGCGACTCGGATTGGGAAGTGCTGCTTGACGTGCATTTTGAAGCATGGGCGGCGCGACCCGGATTGGGAAGTGCTGCGTGACGTGCATTTTGAAGCGCGGTGAAGTTATCCGACCTATTCACTGCGAGCATCACAAGCATTGCAGAGCCGAGCGCGAGTGCAGCCTACATTCTGACCTGACCTGTTTGTCTTTCTACTTCTTGTCTGCTAGCAGGCTCACTCAGGCCGCGTGCTTCCGCTCGCTCTTTAGTCTCTGGCGCCATGGCACGCGTGGAGCTCTTGTCTCTTCCTCTTTCGATTCTGGAAGCAGTGCTTCGCGACATTGTGTCTGTGCCTGTCACATTGGAACTGCACACAAGGTGGCTATGTGTGGTGCCGAGCGACTCCGGAGATTTGACGCATCAGCCTCCGATGCCGACGGCCGACGTGATGCGACACCTCCGGAAGTGGCGGCCTTGCTTGTCTGCGATGACCATAGAAGAAAAGGAGGAAAGGATCAAAGTCAGGTTCCGTCATCCCGGCATTCGACAGCTGGCTCGGGTGGGGTCCACCTCCAGAGCCTGTGCTCGTGCGCTGGCGAATATCATGGGCCGGGACTGGCAGTTGACGAGCTCGAACTACGACGAATGGGAAGATCGCATCCTGGTAGATAACATCAAGTATAGCTGGGAATATCGTCGCGTTCATCGAACATGTCTCCCTTTGCTTGTTCTTCGTCGAGGAGTTCCTGATCACCTGAGTAGAATGCTGGGTTTCGAAGGTTTTGTAGAGAGGCGCGTGGGCTGCGAGAGGGATCGAGCTGCGTGTGTCGAGGCGCTGGACCAATGCCGTGGGAAGAATCCCTCCCAGTGAGTCTTCAGGCGCTTTGGCGAACGCAGGATGACCCGAGGTGGGTTCAATGCAACCGCGGAGACGCGAGTCGGAATCCATATCGGTAGCATTGAGGCTGAGACTCAGCTTCCCATTTCCACGGAACGGCTCTGGCATGTTTTTGGGTCTTGTTTTGCTTCAAATTGGAGGCGTGTGGGATGCGAAAGGGATCGAGTTGCGTGCGTCCAGGTGTCAGTTTCGCTCTCCGTGGGCTGAGACTCAGCTTCCCACTTCCACGGGATGACTCTGGCACATTTTTGGCCAATGTTTTGCATCAGAACCGAATTTGCGAGCCGTATTGGGAAGCAGGCTGAAGCAGGATCGGTCTATCCGCCGAGAGCCGACGCTGTGAGTTGGAATCCATATGCTTAGCATTTGAGCTGTGACTGGGCTTCATCCTTCCCCGGCACGGCTCTGGCTTAATGTTGCCTCCAAAGCGTTCTTCGTGCACGCAGGCTGGACCGCGCGACCCGGATTGGGAAGTGCTGCGTGAGTCGGATTTTCTGGAGTTATCCGACTTCTATGGTGGGTTTTTGATGTCCCTTACTTGTATGTCGAGTTATATGTCTGTCATGTGCATTTGTATATATCATGCAAGGCCATTTATAAGTAGGGTAATGAGTAAGCAACTCAGTTGTAAGTCCTATAGAGTTAGAACTGGCTTGTATATAATTGAAGGAGTTAAGGCTCCACTTATAAGTTCAAGTCAAGTCCTCGCTAAGTAGATATAAGTGGGAGTTATAAGTCCACGCTAAGTCCAGTCGCTCGGAGTTATAGCTCCGACGCTCTGCCACGCTAAATCCCGAAAATTATTTCCGTGAGCCAAAAATTACACCACCCAAACAAAAAAAATATATCACCGGAACTCGAAAATCGGACACACTGAAATACAAAAATGCCACCCCCACGTTCAACATTTTATATCACCCAAAACCGAAAAATGACACACTGAAATACAAAACATGCCACCCCCCATGTCCAAAATTTTGTATCACCCGAAGTCGAAAAATTGACACACTGAAACACAAAAACTGCCACCCCATGTCCCAAATTTGATACCCTGAAAGAACAAAAAATGCCACCTGAATGCCAAAATCTGCCAGCTTGCGAGCACCTAAACACAATACCCGAGACCGCCCGGCCGCCATGCATGCACGAGACATGTCTGTATGGCCGTGAATCCGGCTTGCATGAACATGCACATGTCACGTGGAGGCCTCGCCTCGCATTCATGCATGGAGGCTTCGCCCCACGCATGCACGGCATGCATGACACGAAGTCACACACACACACAGACACATGTGCAAACACAGGGATCCGTGGCAGCTGCAGCATCCGAGTGCAAACACATGCAGACTCATTCAGACAGACACACAGGCTTCTGTGGGAGCTGTGCTGCTTCGCGGTCGCCATGGGATGGACGGACTGGGAGTGGAGAAAAGGAGAAGGGAAGAACTCCGAAGAGAAGGGAAAGGGAAGAGGAGGAAGGCACGACTCTCAAGAAGGAAAAGGAGGAGGAGCAGGCCAGACCTGCAAGAGACAGTTTTTCCAAGAAAAAGGAAAAAAAGGAAAGGAGAAGGGAGAGGCAAAAGGAGGTGGGAAGGACTGGCAAAAAGGAGAAGGGAAGCAGGCCCCAATGAAGGAGGAAAACGAGGACGAATGGAAGGGGCAGCAAAAAGGAGGAGGGAAGGATGCCGGTTTCTTGGATGAGGATGAGGAGGCTCGCCTGCAGGAGCCGGGCGAGACCATATACGAAGGCCCGTTCGAGGTCC